GATTTTCTGGAAATGCTATCAGTGCCCGGGGCAAAATGGATTCCCCACGTCCGTTCGGCGGGCGGGAACATTCGAAACACCTCCGCTGGCCCTTTGACCCGAAAGTGCACGCGCCGTAAAATACGAGGTACTCCTAGCCTGTCTGCTTCCGATAATCGTTATCAATTTGAAAAATTTATACATGCTTACCTATCATATCACAGAACAAGGGCAGCGATATTGAAATTGATAATAACAAATGGGACCAATGCTACGCAAACATTCGGAAATCGGAATAATCGCTTGGGAACCAAAAAAGGTGATCAGTGAAAGAAAAGTCCAAGCTATTCGAGTCCATAAATCCGTTTCGCGTTCTCTGTTGTTACGCGGGCCACCTAAAAACCAGGAAATTGCAAAAACCCATGAATTACCTCCACCGGATCCACGTCCATAAACCCGGCTATCAATTCGCAAATTGACGCCAGCGTGCTGGGCTCATTTCGGTCGAAGGATGAGAACTAAAGCGATTTTCAAATCGAATTTTTTAAATATAAATAGCGGGTGTTTCTAAATTGTTTTTTTTACTATTCCTACACGTAAAAACCTGAAGAATTTAAACGACGACTTTTTGAAAACTTTTTTATAGTTTATCTACTTGAAATATATTTAGTTTACTAAAAACATGATTAAAAAACTTTCAATTAAGTTACTAGGCATTTCTAGGCTTACACAACCCCCCGATAATGCGAAAGAACCCGTTGCTAACTGTAAAGTGTTTTTACTCAAGTTGGAGTTTCGATTCGGGACCAAGTGCATCTTGTGCAGAATTTTTCGCTGATTCCGAATCCGCTTTCCAAATTTGCTGCGGACTTTTATTTTGAAAGCTATACAGCAGTTATGGTAGTGTTTTTCCCCAAAATCAAGGAACCGTTATCGTTTTCGATTTTCCTGATCAATTTCAACTTCAAAATTGGCTAGAGATTGGCTAGACAAGCATCTTAAAAGTCAAAACAAGCTTTTTATAAAAAATTAAATTTTTTTATGCAAAAAGCAAAAGAAAGGTGCAGGGCGGGGATCCGAACCGCCGACCTGCGCTTGGCAAGCGAGTACTTTACCAATGCACCATGGTGCCAACCGGGAGGGGAGCTGTGACAGAGTACTTCAGGGCCCCCGGGAGATCCAGAACCAAGGAGGGAATAGTGGGCCAGGATCCGAATTTTTGGCTTTTTCAAGCTTAATTTGCACCAAAAATGACTTTTTAAATAAAAGTCCGCAGCAAATTTGGAAAACGGATTCGGTATCAGCAAAAAATTCTGCACAAGATGCACTTGGTCCCGAATCGAAACTCCAACTTGAGTAAAAACACTTTACAGTAAGTCTGATACCTTATGCAATTGCAGCGCCGGCTCGGTCAACTTGTCCCTGATTTCCTTCGGTATCTTCTTGTCGTTGACTTTCGGGAACATGAATGGAGCGTCGGTTTCGAGCACCAACCGATTTAGGGGGATAGCGCCCGTCTTCAGGGCGACTTTCACACCGTTCGGCAGTCGGTCTTTCCACAAAAATCCTTCAAAAACGAAAATAATTTTTGAGATTTTAAGGAATACCTGTCAATCCTATATAAAACCCAAGCTCGATAAACCGCTCGGCCTCCTTGACGGTTCCGGTAAAGCAATGAATAACCGCTGCGGGTAGTTGATCTCCAAATGACGTGAGGATTGATATCTAGAACCGAAAATTATAAATCGTTCCGGCCGTTTACCGTATCCTCGGCTGCCTCCCTCTCGTGAATGAACAACGGCTTTTTCAATTTGACGGCCATTTCAACTTGCTTTTGAAAGACCTAAAAATCTTGGTTTTTCAGCACAGCATTTCCAACCTCTCTTTGCACAGGTCGAGGCGAGAAATCACGATTGTAGTCCAGACCTAAAAACAATTTTTGATTTTTTAAACCGACAAACCGCATTCACCAACGGCCACGCATTGCGGGTGCGCCCACAGCGTTCTCAATGTATCCAGAGTGTCTTCTTTGAAATCTTTGGCATCGTGAGGGTGGACGCCTAGAGAATATTTTTTCGTGGTTATCCTAAAAAACCTACCGGCCGTAAAGTATAAAAACCCGGGCTCCCGTTCGGCCAGCTTGCACACCGATTGACTGATTTCCTCCGAGGTGCCGGTGAGCATCAGTTTTTTGATGCCTAAATGTCAAATACTTCAAAAGGTTCTTCAGGTTGGAAGTGGAATTCGGCTTAAAGACGAACCCGCTTCTTTCGCTCGCTTGATCACCTCCTCGAAATCATTCTTGTAGGAGGGATGGCCCAGGTTGGCCCCAATGTCCACCAATTCGTACGGAACACGGGATTCCTACAAAAAAAATACTTTTCTAAATTTGAAGCTTACGATCGCCATGAGCCTCTTGGTCACCCGTAGAACTGATAGTAATGTCTGTCGTCGCGTTGTGAAAAGTTTTCTCTAGTAAAAATCCAACCAAAATTCTATTTATTCAGCGTTTTGACGAAAAGTTTTGCAAGATTTCCACAATTTTTGTAATGTGATGGAGCAACGCAGCGATACTATGAACGCGTGGACAACGTGCGGTAACCACATTTTGGTCCGAATTCTCGAATTTAGCTTTGGTAATGGATAGTCAGAAAAATAAAAACGGTCTTTCTAATTTTATGTTTTCTTATATAAATTCTTTATTACTTTATAGAAATGCAATGATCATCTTTAGATGGCCGAACAACAATCGATCCCGATCAGCCAGCTCTCCATCGAGCAACTCAATAACTTCCAAAAGGCGCTTGAGGGTGACATTGCCTTTTTCGCCACTTCGCTCGAGTCGCTGAAGGGATTTGCGGATAAGGTAAAGCTCGCTGTCTTTGCGGAAATTCTTCTTCAGGTGAACCAAAGCATAGAAACAGTGGAGGGCCTAGCGAAGAAGCAGCCTGGCGACATCTCGATGGTCCCGCTCACGGAATCGGTAACACTTTTAACTTTTTATTTATTTGTGTTTAGACCTATATACGAGCCGAACTTGTTGACCCGAAGACTACCCTCGTTGAATTAGGAACAGGTAATTGCATCGTTCGAGGCATTTATTGTTGTTTAGGGTTCTTCGCCGAAATTCCCGTCGAGAAAGCCGAAGAATTCTTCCGGCGAAAATTGAAGAACATCACAGAAAATGTGAGTGGTTTCTATCACGGCAAATTCTTTTTTAGACGGAGAAAATCGAGAAAATCCTGCTCGAGAAGCGCGCCTCGCTCGCCGCCATCACCGACGCGTTCCGGGCAAAAGTCAGCGAGCAAATGCAGAACATGCCGATGCCGGCCGGTAAATAAGCGCGGTGCCGGTCCATTTTTAAAATTTGTTTTGCTTGCTTCTTCGCTTTAAACGTTCAATCATTTTTGCCCCAATATGCCTCTTGTTACATTGCCGTTTGTGAGTTGCGTTGTTGTCCGGTCCGCGGCCAAAGCGATCATAAAGTTTTATTGCCATAAAATATGTACAGTTTTTATATGAGGCAGTTTTGGTTTTGGTTTCTGGAGATTCATGGGTGGAATATGCGGCCGAGGTATTGAAGTTAACAGCATACAAAAAAAAACAGCAAACATAGGTTTAGAAGCATATTTTGCATTTCATTAACCGGTCAGTCACATAGAGCATCACGCTACCATAGCTGAAATAGATCAGCATGCTGCCGAGGGCGAGCCAGAAGCCTTTGTTGGAGAATCCGGTGACCGTGTCGATTAGGAAGACTAGGCAGAAGAATATCTGAAAATAGTTTGTTTCTAGCTTAGTCTCCCGTCCCTTTTTATTGTAAGCGGCTTAAAACTGCAATTGCGCCTCGGGAAGAACGGAAAGGGCAAAGTATTAAATTCCTGATGGGGGCACATCATTGTGAAAGGCTTGCTGGCGCTTTCGCATTATCGGGGCGGGGAGGTGGAACAAGTTTTTGTAGTTAAGAAGATAAACCTTATTTAAAATAGATAATTTCCAAAACGCCAGATTTTTGGTCAAAAAATTTAGATTGTTTTTGTGTTTTTAAATGCATTTTATAAAGTTTTTACATTCGGCAATAGCAAAAAAGCACTCTAGAAACGCTTCCGCTGTTTATATTTGGAAAAATGGAAGCTAACAATGATTTTTTGTCCCCCTCCCCACCCCCCCGATAAAACAAAAGAACCTGTTCGCTTACCAAATATGACGAATAGCAGAGAAGCGGAGTTGGGTATTTTTTATAGACGCCAATTGTCATCAGGGCGCCCAGGAGGAGCGCGATTATCGACCGGCAGGCGTCGATAATGACGAAGGACTGCTTGATGTCGATATCCTCGCTGCAAAGGGTTTTTAAAAACTTTTCTGTCTGCATTTTCACGCGTACGGCGGGACAGGAAGAAGTAAACATACTTTTCTTCAGGCTGCTGCACCAAATACCACCAAAAGTTGTACACGTGTGGGGCAGGCACACATAGAATTGTGGGAATAAGTAAGAGTCTCTGAAAATATTTGTAATTAGATACGGAAAATGTGGGATACCTTAAAAGCAATTCGATGTCGCGTCCATATACTATTCATGTATTTCTGAATTTATTAAATTCGAAAGATGTTTTATTAGACTTACACAGGATCCATGGGGTACGCGCACGCCGTCAATCTGAAATATATATATCAATCTTAGTTTCATATGTAATTTACGAGCTTTTATTACTTCCTTAGCTTTTCTTTTATTAATTATTGTTAAAGTTTAAGGTTTATAAGTCCCTTTAGAGCTTTAAGGTTTTAATTATTCTAATCTTAAAATATAATAAAGAGAAAAATAAATTAGTATTATTATTATAATCATTATAAGAACTTACTATAGTGTCGTAAGCCGAGCTCTCGGTTTCTCCCTCCTCGCATTGACGTATCGACAGACCGCGAACCTTGCTGGCCGATTCCTCGTCATCCTCGAACGGCGGTGAGGGCAGGTTCAGGCTTCCGGTTCGGACACGCGGCCGGCGTGGCCATTTTTGCCACTAAACGTGGGATTAACTAAACATTTTTTTGCCACTAAATTGTCCTAAAACATTTTCGCAATTTTTGTCTATTTAGCCGCATATTTCCGTTCACCACACGGGTTAGATAAATGAGAGGAAAACGGTGGAAGTTCAAAAACGAAAAAAAAGATTTTTATGATACGTTATTTCTGTTAGCCGATACCTTTTGTGCGATTTAACCGCCTGCCAGACTACGCAGGTTCTATACAGCTTCTTAGGTTTTTTACGGAATTTATTAATTTCTTTATGCCAGTCGCTAGACAATTAAAAAAAAAACAAATCTAGATTATTTTTCCCTTAAAAATGTCGTACCATTGGAGGCCGGTGTCGCAGTTGTCGTCCAATCGTTATTGCCTTTCTGGCAAGAAATTCAGCTGCAAAGTATTCGGATTAAAATGTTGGTTCTGTTCTATTTCGCGGGGGGGGGGGATATGCTTCGCGGAAACGTCCATCTTTTCGCTATTTTCTCGGGATTTTTGCAACTCCATTCGATAGAGCATCAAAAAAATATACTAAGAGTTTTTGTTTTAGCTAAAAATATTGTAATATAAAAAAGTTATAGCAAAAACAAGTTTTATACGGTGTTTCCACATGGGATCGTGGAGTCGAAAGCTCCTTTTCGACCTTTTCGTTATCTTTCAAAAATTCCTTTAATGCCATTCGATAGAGTGTCAAAGATTATACTAAGAGTTTTAATTACAACTCAAAATAGAATCATATAAAAGACATATAACAAAACGAAGAAAATCCCCCCCGCACAGCTCCCCCCCGCGAAATAGAACAGACCAAAATGTTCCGTCACTAATCAATTCGGAACCGGGGCCCTCGCCCGGCGCTTTCGCGGGGCGTGATGCTTATCTTCCGACAACGAAATGTCTTCGCATCGCGAATTTTTGTGAATTTTGGCGCTTGATAGCGCTCGTTTTTAGTTCTGTAGCGCGTGTGTGGCAAATCGGATTGGGCAATCGTGTGGAAAGCGCTTGTGTTTTGACCGTTAAAGATTCTCCAATTAAAAAAATAGTTCATGTGTCTGGACACTTAGATTAAATGGCTAAAAAAACCCGGGTAACCAAGATATCGGGAAGCGGTAGAATTTCAAGCAATTTTTCGCGCATATCGTAATTACGTAAACCTACAGTTTTTTGTTATGTAACTTATGGTATTCTGATTCGGCTTGGCTCCTTGCAAAAACGCCAAAAACACCTCTGACAATCCAAATAAGCCGGCGAAGTGTTTACCGCGTTCCGATATTCGGTTTGCCCAAATCTTTGATAGGTGGTCAGGCTCTGCAAATCTCTGACTCACCTTCTCACTCTCTCTCTCTCTCACGCTCTCTCTCTCTCCCTCTCTTTTTCTCTCTCACAGCACGTGATTCCAGAATCCCAAATTCCGAGGGCCAGAATTCCAGATAAGCGAAAGTGTTTTCAGAAGGTTACTGCCTGTCCCTCGGTATTTACAATCTCATTCCGGGCCCTTGAAATGCCCGTAAAATGGACCGGTAGTTCCGGAACTTCTAAAAACGCAAATTTATCGTACAACTTTAAATACATATAAATAAGGATACCGCAAAAAGCGACGCTTGCTGAAAATAGCCCCCCTAAAGAATCGCAAAGTCGGTAAAAACAGCAAAATGGTCTGAGGGGTAGTCATTCTCGGCATGGAATGGAATCGGCTTGATCGGGACGCTTCCGCCGTACATTTGGGTCCTAAAACGAACGAAAATTTTTTTAAAGGGACTGTGCCAGCTACCTGGAGGGCTTCACGCGACCCTGATAGAAGATGAAGTCAATTCGGTCTTGTGCCTCCTCGAAGGCGTAATGATATTCGCTATTCATCTTATTGCAGGTGGACCAGGTTCGGGCTGAAACAAATAATCTCTGCTAGCCTGCCCTCTCCTCGTCCTCAACAATCTCTGCTAGCCTGCCCTCTCCTCTTCCTCAACAATCTCTGCTAGCCTGCCCTCTCCTCGTCCTCAACAATCTCTGCTAGCCTGCCCTCTCCTCTTCCTCAACAATCTCTGCTAGCCTGCCCTCTCCTCTTCCTCAACAATCTCTGCTAGCCTGTCCTCTCCTCTTCCTCAACAATCTCTGCTAGCCTGCCCTCTCCTCTTCCTCAACAATCTCTGCTAGCCTGCCCTCTCCTCGTCCTCAACAATCTCTGCTAGCCTGCCCTCTCCTCTTCCTAAACAATCTCTGCTAGCCTGTCCTCTCGTCTTCCTCAACAATCTCTGCTAGCCTGCCTTCTTTCACTCACCCGGATCTTTGACCGGATCCGGAAAAAGCGCCCGGTAGCTGTCCACAAATCCCTGATCGGTCAACTCCTTGGTGGCTGGCCATGGCACTGCCCAGCCCCCGTGGATCGACCTGCAAAAGTTAAGCTAATTAAGACATACATTTACAGAGTCAAATAAATAATAATTAATTTAATTAATTTAAAATAAATAAATAATATGTAGTTTTTAAAGGAACCGGAAAGTCTGATTACTTTGTGTCCTCGCCCCAGTCTTGATGGCTAGGGACGTTGAAGTCTCCAGCGACGACGATCGGGACTTGAGCGACGATTTTCAGGGCTGCTGCCATCTCTGGGCTGGCCAAGAGGCCACCAAGTTCTTCGGCACGGCCTGGAGAAATAGTTATTTGCACCTCTCTCTCTCTCTCTCTCTCTCTCTCTCTCTCTCTCTCTCTCGCTCTCTCTCTCTCACCTTCCTTCCCGGCATGTTCGGCGCTGAGAATCTGCGAGATGTTGGTGACCAGCTTGTTGTAGGCGAGGTAGGGGCCGTAGGCTCTAAATTCCGAAAATTTTTCCTGCTAGCATGCCCTTGCGGAAAAATCTGAAACTCTGCTAGCTTGCACAGCCTCGAAATTGGATAAAATGACCTGGCTGGATAAGTTTGTCCTTGATGATCTCTGCTAGCCTGCTTGCTTAGGTCACCTACCTAGTCCAAACTTCTAGCCGAACCTCCTGGCTCAAGCTCCTAGCTCCTAGCTCCCGGCTCCTAGCTCAAACTCCTAGCTCCTGACTCCGAGCTAGTGCTCCTAGCTCCCCTGCGTGCCTAGCGATGGCTCAAGCTCATAGCGCTCAACTTCTAGCTAAAGCTCCGAGCCCGAACTCCTAGCTCCCAGTTCCAAGCTCATAATTCAACCCCTAGCTTTTAGCTCAAGCTCCTAGCTTTTAGATAAAGCTCTTAGGCCCAACTCCGAGCTCAAGCTCACGACTCAAATTCCTAACTCTCGACTCCTAGCGCCTAGCTCGTACTCAAACTCCAAGCTCCTAGCTCCTTACACCTAGCTCAAGCTCCTTGCTCCTAGCTCACAGTTCCTGGTTCCGAGCGCAAATTCCCAGCTCTCAGCTCCTAGCTCCTGGCTCAAACTACTAACTCAACTCCCTTCTTAGCTTGCCTCTGCTAGCCTGCCCGGCTCAAATTTCCGCAAGAATCTCTGCTAGCCTGCCACCGACCTTGCCTCCGCGTGCACCGACCAGAAGTTGACGTGCTTCTCGCCGGGGAGCTCGACTTTCGCGTAGATGTACGCGTCATCTTTGTGTGAAACGACTTCAACAATCTAAATTTTACTTTTTAGGAATCCATGCCGGCTAGCAGAGACAATTTGAGGAGATTTTGCACTCCACAGCCTCCCAAGCAGTCTAGCAGAGATTATTTGGGGAATGCAGACCCACCTTATGCTTTGTGAGGATCATGACATCCGGATAATCGCGGTCGGGGTGCACGAAATGCCAGCTGGAGGGCAGATATTGGGTGATGTTCTCGGCGCATTTCTCGTACTCGACCTCCTAAAGGGATTAGTAGGTTTAAGGGCAGGCTAGCAGGGATTCTTTCGGAACAGAACGGGGGTCTAGCAGAGAGCTTTGAGGAATAGGGAGAGGGCTAGCAGCATTTCGCGAGGAAAAGACAGTTCTGCAGAGACCTTTAGGGAAAATCAGAGCTGGAGAAAGCTAGAGAGAGAGAGAGACAGAGAAACAGAGAGAGAGAGAGAGAGAGAGAGAGAGAGAGAGAGAGAGAGACTGAAGGAGACGCATTTGTGTGCAAGTGTCGTTTCTTTCGCATTATCGGGGGACACAAAATTTTGGGTAAACAATATCGGGTCTTCAAATGCCTAGTAACTTAATCGGAAGTATTTTAAACATGTTTTTCTTAAAAAAACGGTTTTTCGCTTAGAAAAACGCTTCAAAAATTTCTCAATAGTCGTAATTTTGGTCAAAAACGATCATTTTTGCCGAAAAACCTCTTTTTTCTAATTTTTAAAACGGATTCCTGCTCAATAAAATAAATTTAATGAAAATATGCCAGAACCGGGATTGGGGCCTGTTAGCATAGCCATTTGATGATGAATACGGCGCCCCAGCGTAAGGCAGTCTAGCAGAGATCTTTGACGAGAGCAATATACTGGTCACGAGCAGAAAACTAACAGGCTAGCAGCGATTATTAAGGAAGCTGCCGTTATAAAGTTGCCTCTCTGAAATCAGCTCACCTGCATTGCCACAATGTCTGGGTTAACCAGCAGAATATGCTTTGCGATCTTCGCCACCCCATCGTTCACATTCCCGCCGCAGTTCCAGATGTTGAAAGTCATGACGCGGAAGCTGAAATAAGCAAGGTTATGCAATTTTTTTGAATACCGTCGACTACGAACTTTATTAAAATTGCTGATTTATTCCGAAACATCCGATTATGTGCAAAACATCTTTTTAGAAAATTTGATGTTCTTGACGATTGCATTCCACTAAAATACCAGAAAAGTTGTGTTTTACCTCGGTTGAGCATCAACGCATATCGGTAACAGTATTGATATGCAGAGGATAGTAAGAAAGAACATTTCCTGAAATAAAAATTTTTACACGCCGGACAGGAGGCTAGCAGAGATTGTTGAGGAAGAGGAGAGGGCAGGCTAGCAGAGATTGTTGAGGAAGAGGAGAGGGCAGGCTAGCAGAGATTGTTGAGGAAGAGGAGAGGGCAGGCTAGCAGAGATTGTTGAGGAAGAGGAGAGGGCAGGCTAGCAGAGATTGTTGAGGAAGAGGAGAGGGCAGGCTAGAAGAGATTGTTGAGGAAGAGGATAGGGCAGGCTAGAAGAGATTGTTGAGGAAGAGGAGAGGGCAGGCTAGCAGAGATTGTTGAGGAAGAGGAGAGGGCAGGCTAGCAGAGATTGTTGAGGAAGAGGAGAGGGCAGGCTAGCAGAGATTGTTGAGGAAGAGGATAGGGCAGGCTAGAAGAGATTGTTGAGGAAGAGGAGAGGGCAGGCTAGCAGAGATTGTTGAGGAAGAGGAGAGGCAGGCTAGCAGAGTTGTTGAGGAAGAGGGAGAGGGCAGGCTAGCAGAGATTGTTGAGGAAGAGGAGAGGGCAGGCTAGCAGAGATTGTTGAGGAAGGGAGAGGGCAGGCTAGCAGAGATTGTTGAGGAAGAGGAGAGGGCAGGCTAGCAGAGATTGTTGAGGAAGAGGAGAGGGCAGGCTAGCAGAGATTGTTGAGGAAGAGGAGAGGGCAGGCTAGCAGAGATTGTTGAGGAAGAGGAGAGGGCAGGCTAGCAGAGATTGTTGAGGGAAGAGGAGAGGGCAGGCTAGCAGAGATTGTTGAGGAAGAGGAGAGGGCAGGCTAGCAGAGATTGTTGAGGAAGAGGAGAGGGCAGGCTAGCAGAGATTGTTGAGGAAGAGGAGAGGGCTGGCTAGCGGAGATTCTTAGGCGCGTATTTCGAGGTGCAGGAGTAATTCTTTGCTCTATAATAGCATTGCCCTAGCATTTGGAGCTGGTTGATATGGGGTTGCGATTGATAAGGCTAGCGAATTCCGCAACAATTTGTAAGCTTTCGTCCAAATAATGAGCAGGAGAAAATGGGAAATCGTGGACTTTTTTTGTATAGGCGCTAATTTTTTTGCTTTCTCGGCGGAAGAGAAATGAGTCATGGTGGAAAAACACACAATAAAAAGGAGGAAAAAAAGCAGGCCGCTGCTTTTTTCTGTATTTTTCGCCTGGAAGAGCATGGGAGAAAACAACAGCTTTTAGGGGGGGGGAGGGGAATAGGCTTCAAGTCTTGGCATGGGGCATCAAAATCTATAGGGTGTATGGCACTGCCTGCAGCTTGAAGAGAAGGTTAGCAGCCGTAAAATTTTCGGGAAAGCGGTGATTAATTTTGAAAACTATGTTTCACGGCTCGAGCACCAGCAGTAGCTTTTTGTATAATCAATAGGTCGAAGTACAGGGCCCAAAAAAAACGAACCATCCGGCATTTCGCCGCCTTCCATCCAATCGGCCCCAAATTTGGACCAGAGGTGTATCAGGCCCTAGATAACCACAATCCAGACTAAAATTAATTAAATAAGCTTCGATTTAAACGATTTTTACAACGCAAAATTCCCCAGGATCTTAGGCGAAATTAGGGATTCGCAGCCGCAATTCGATGCAAATCGATGCAGGGTAAAAAAAGATAGCCGAAAAACTATTCAGAATTCCAGGAAAAACAGTATTTTCGTTATAACTCAAGAACGACTGGAGCTACGCGGCTAAAAGTCAGGATTGTTGTTATTTAGGGGTCTGATACACCTCTGTCGCAATTTGGGGCCGACACGTAACAAGACAAAATGCCAGATAGTTCGTTTTTTGGGACACCCTGTACGCGGCTCGAGAAAATTATTGGCTCATTTTTCTAAAAAAAAATATAACTGGGCAAGAAAATTCCCGGGAAACCAATAATAATTTAAAAAATTATGTTTCACGATTCAAGCACTGGCAGTAGGATTTATTAAAAACAATTAAACGAAGTCAATGGCCCGAAAGCAATTTTTTCCTATTTTCTAAAAATCCTGTAATAAAGGGAGTTTCATCAGGCTGATGCTCGCTCCTTTCAAGCCTTAGAAAATTATTGCAAAAAATAATAAGGATTTCTGAATTTGAAATTTTCGCTATTTTCTAAGGAATTTGTATTAGCATACGAAAGGGCCGTAAAATAGTTATCATATTAATGCGCGCTCCCTTTCTATATACTAAAATCTGAGTAGTAGTATGTATAATTAGATAAATTATTAAGCTATACAGAAACCTAAGAAAAATAGACCATTTCGATTCTAAAAAGTCGTTGAATTTGCCGGTATAAATACTATTCCCGCGGGCGCACAATACGGCGTGAGAAACAACAGGGACTGTTTGTGAAAAACAACTAAAAACGATAAAAAATGAATATTAAATAGGGGGCGACGGGAAAAAGGGTGAACAATAGCGTTGTTTATCTTCTTGAAGCAGAGAAAGAACGACTGTTTATCTCGCCCTGGTCAAAGGGGTCAGATTATAAACATTAGAATTTGATGGGCAAGCTTGCAAAGACAATTGAGGAATGTGGCCTCACGGCAGACTAGCAGAGAACCTTTGTCTCTGCCAGCAAACTCTAGCCTACCGAGTCCCTTAAAGAAGAGAAAAATGCAGAAAAAGCCGAGCCGACGCGCCCGCGAAGCCAAATCCCGAATCGAATCATATCGGGGACGCGCGCCGGGCGGCCTGAAATGAGTTCCCGGTGTGGGACGTTTCCTTGGGGCCCAAGGGCCCCAAGGAGACAACCCTCTAATCCCTCCACCGGCACACTGGAGGTACTGGCGGTTTTTTGTTACCAGATTAAATGCTACGCCAGTGAATTTTCGCTACTGTTGGGCGAGCAGAGATTGTTGAGGAAGAGGAGAGGGCAGGCTAGCAGAGATTGTTGAGGAAGAGGAGAGGGCAGGCTAGCAGAGATTGTGGAGGAATAGGAGAGGGCAGGCTAGCAGAGATTGTTGAGGAAGAGGAGAGGGCAGGCTAGCAGAGATTGTTGAGGAAGAGGAGAGGGCAGGCTAGCAGAGATTGTGGAGGAATAGGAGAGGGCAGGCTAGCAGAGATTGTTGAGGAAGAGGAGAGGGCAGGCTAGCAGAGATTGTTGAGGAAGAGGTGAGGGCAGGCTAGCAGAGATTGTTGAGGAAGAGGAGAGGGCAGGCTAGCAGAGATTGTGGAGGAATAGGAGAGGGCAGGCTAGCAGAGATTGTTGAGGAAGAGGAGAGGGCAGGCTAGCAGAGATTGTTGAGGAAGAGGAGAGGACAGGCTAGCAGAGATTGTGGAGGAATAGGAGAGGGCAGGCTAGCAGAGATTGTTGAGGGAAGAGGGAGAGGGCAGGCTAGCAGAGATTGTTGAGGAAGAGGAGAGGGCAGGCTAGCAGAGATTGTTGAGGAAGAGGAGAGGGGCAGGCTAGCAGGCTGAGGCTGATGCTTAGCTTACTTAGGCTTGGGCTTAGGCTACTCACAGAACCCCTGCTAGATGTCTCCACTAGCTCGGATTCTCATCAAAAATCGAAAATTTTTCATAGCTTTAATCTTTTTATTGAAGTTGGTTGTATTTCTGCTTTTTTAACGCTAATTCCCCTGCAATCGCTGCTTGCCGCCCTCTCCTCTTCCTCTCTGTCTCTCTTCTCTCCCTTCTCTCTTGCTCGTTTCCCGAGATCATTATCGTATTCCCTCCCTTTCAAGGAATGCATACCGAATCCAAAGTGACAACTTGTCGTTCCGTGCTGCTACTCATTCGGCATCCCCGATTTATGACCAGGCCATTTGCAGATACAAAACAACCATTTTTCGCGACTATTAGAATTCTATGTTTCTGGAAAATACTCCGAGAGAAGTACTGGCGTGGGAATCAATTATGGAAATGTTGGTGTGTTGAAATTTTGCATTCGAAACTAAAGAGCTACGAAAAAGTGAAGGCAATTTTTTTTAATAATTGGTAACCGTTTTGCGGAGGCTAGCAAGTCTTACTAACAAAATTTTCCGGAAATTTAGAGAGTCGAAAAAAAGGGAATCTTAGATTCAGTGGAAAATTAGATGTTTCTGGAAAATGCTCAAGTGAAGCAACCAGTTGGCGGATAACTTCCGAATGAGATCATAGAGCTACGGTAGAGCGGGGGCAGGCTAGCAGAGATGATTGAGGAATTTTTTCGAAACCTTCCACTTTTGTGGAGGGTTCCACTTCCACTTCTTCCACTCCATTTTTTGTGCTCCTTTTGGTCATTTTAAATTCTAAAAATTCTCTAGATTGTTTTAATGAGATTTTTGTTTTTAACAACTGTTCAAAACGCTATAAAAATGGTCTATATTGATAGAAAATATAGCATCTAATATAGCATGCATTTTTATAGTTTTTCAAAATAATTTTTGATGGCTAGAAAGACTTTCAAAAGCCGAATTCAAAATCTGGAATTTTTAGGATTTTTGTATCTAAAGACCGTGCCAAATGCTATAAAAATGATTTTATTTAGCTATTGGGCCGTACGGCCTTACTGGGGAAAAATCCCCCCGCTAAGAGACCAATACCTAAGATTTATACCCTCACCTGTGGCCCGCGGGGTCACATGTTGCCCATCCCACCCCGAGCCCCGGCCTGGGTGGCATTAGTGGAGTTGCAGGGGCCCGGGGCCCTTCCAACTGGGCCCTTTGCTTTCGGGGTTAAGTGCCCTCGTCAGGGCCCCGCAGCCGCTCCTCATTTATGTGCTTTTATGTGCTTCTTCCGCGTCTTCCTTCCCGCCGCCAAGGAATTTCGGCCCGACTTTGATACAACACGAGATTAAATTGTCTCTGCTAGCCTGCCCTGGGGTCCTTAGAGGCCAGAATTCCTCAAATTGGCTTTGCTAGCTTACCCTTTGGGGCCTTTTGGGGCCACGATCCCTCAAATTGTCTCTGCTAATATGCCCAGGGGGATTTTTCAGGGGCCAGAATTCCTCAAATTGTCTGTGCTAGACTGTCATGGGGTTCTTTAAAGGCCACGACTCCTCAAATTGTCTCGGACGGCCTGCCCTGGTGCCGAAATTTATCAAATGT